ACACGTTGGCATCGTCAGAGCTCAGGTGCCTCCCTCTAGGGAGGAAACTGGGCATCAAAATTACCTGTGGTATCCGTCTATAGGGCACCGCACTAAAAAGTGAAACCAGCTTCCGTGGAATGTACTAGGTCTGCAATGGTTAATTATCACTTCGCAACCCATTAGAAATAAAGAAAAAGTTTATGAATTTATCCTACCTATAAGCGTTTGATCCTAAATTTTGTGCAATTCCCTACAATGGTTCAAGAAATATTCAATTTTGAGATTGCGGCTGAAAAAAAAATCACAAAGAGTATGGGCCCGTATAATCGTTCATAAATTTTAATTATCGACTCATTAATAAAGTAGTATTAAGAAATGGGGAAAAGTAAATGAATTGCTTACGCGTAAGAACTGTAGTATATGGCTCCTTAACACATTTTTCCCAAAATCTCCAGAACTAATAGCCGAATTCAAATAAACATCAGAATACTGGATGTACATATAATTATTAATGCAGTTTAAAAGTTTATTCCTAAGCGGAGTTAGAATATTTTTTAGAAAATGTTCAACGATTGTACTCACACACACATGGGAAAGAAAGTGGTGCAAGAAAAGTACTATTTAGAGCCATGGAACATCGACATTAGGCCTTAGAAAAAAGGAACAGAGTCGATTGTTCCACGATTCACATTTCTTGGTCAATCACATTGACGTACGAGTGCAAATAGCCTAAATTTCAACGGAAACTCAAATCTGGCCCCTGGGTTCACATCTGGTCAGTTAGAAGATGACAGTGGAGGTACTATGGTGTGGGCGATGTTTTCATAGATCAGGATAGGACCTATCATTCCCAAAGAACAATACCTATCAACTGTGCTCTATGCGAACATCGTTGCACACTAGGTGCACCCCATATGGCAACAGAGTTCCTAACGAGTAATGGTGTTGCATAGGGGTCGACAACCTATTGCACGCATGTCCCATGTGGCATGTGTTACAATTCTAAGTGACATTCTACACTACTCTACAATTTTGTCAATTTTTAAGGGGTTGGAATATGAAAAATTTGTAATGTACCTTATTTGACAAACATCTTTAGAATTATGGACATTAAGGAACTACGAAAAAATCTGAAAATAACTCTAAATACAAATTTAAAGCTATTTTGTAAATTATTGAATGCCATTGTTGTAGAGATTTAATTGTCTGAATAGAGAAAATTGCATATACTATGCTTCCCACTTTTAGTTCTACATATCTTTCCTCATATGAAAAACATTTCGAATTCGCAAATAAACTGTTTTGCAACTGAATACTTAAAACCATGTCAAATTGAAAGTCACAAATGAATTTGCGATATGAAAATAGAGTGGTACAAGCACTGGATTCACATTAAATTTTTATTTATCTTTCTATTTAACTATAATGAATTACATTATATGTTGTGTATTTCTTATTTTATTAAATAGGTTTAAAAATACATATGTACAGATTTAATATTTTTTATTTTTGCTGAAGAAATAGTTATATTTTATGCTAAGAAATATCTTTAAATGAAGCAAAATTAGAATATAATAAAACTGTTAATCTATAAAATTGATCTCTGTTTTCCAACTCTACATGCATTATCGCGGAGATAGAATTTTTTCAAAAATATCCCACAGTGTAGCACTTTGAATCATATTGGTAGATTGGTTTGGCACGCCACAGCTAAAAGGTTGCCGGCCACTGGTGTAGCATGTCATAAGGTCCGAATAATCGTGGAGTGGTTCAAAAAATATTCTGGTGAATTTCAAGTTATGTCTTAGCTTCCAAATTCACTTGGCATGAATCAAATCGAACATTTACGGTTCCACCTGGTACGTAGAATTAGTGTTATCATGTTAATTCTTTGAAATGTGCGTGGATTGCAAGTCCAGTTGGAAAGTGTTTGGTACCAGATGCCTTTGATTACCTTTCACCTCTAGAGTGAATGCCTCGCCTACTTCATATTAAACAGGTGGTCATATGTAATGTAAGGGTTCTACAGATTAGTCTGTTTTAAAAGGAGGAAAACTATTTCTATTTACATTATCTAATTCATCCTCAGTCTGCCAAGATAATCTGCGCATTTCTTACTAGAATCCCTTAAGAGTGAAAATAAGATATCTTTACTCTAACATCAGCAACGTTTTTGAACCTTTAAATAGAGACTCAATTCATGTGACGTCATAGTTACATCATAATGATAACCGCGTAATTTTAGCCAATCAGTTCAAAAACTCATATGACGTCATAATGACGTGAAAGCAATCATGTGTTTCCAGCCAATTAGTTCATGCACTTAGTTGTTGCCAATTTTTGCTGTTTTCAGAAACTTTCTTTTAAAGTACAAATTGTTTGACAATAATAACGTACATAGGTAAACAAAATGCATTTTATTTAAAAGTACCAGCGTAAAATAAGGTGTGTTTTTTTTCAATTTTAAAATCTTTTGAAGAAATGTTTTTTTATAACCATGTGAACATCTTTTTACTCAATAACGAAACTTGGAATCTATCTAAATTTTACAAATAAAACAACAAGTACAATAAGTTCGATGTCTGTTTTGAACTCAATGGAGAACACGTGTTTGGCTTTGTTATGTGACATTCATGAATGGTCGCAATTCATGTGACGTCGTCATAGTCCCGTGATAATGATAACCACGAGTCTTTAGCCAATCAGTTCAAAAACACATGCGATGCCATAGTCACACGATAAAAGCAATCACATGATTCTAGCTAATCAATTCATGCACTTTCAGAAACTTTGTAAGGGCGCCCCCCCTCGGGTGCCCTTCTCCTTGATTATCAGCGCAAGCTAAAGGTGTAGAAATAAATGAAGAACTAGAAGCTGCCATGATCTTAATATGACTTTATTAAGATCTTAAACTTCTAGCAGATTAGATAATAATAATATATGTGAGAGAATCTACGGTGGCTAAACACACAATATATATAATACCGAAATAACGTAACACGGACCACTATCAATAGTAACTCACTTAGCTCAATTCTCAGACTATCATAGATCCGAATATTAAATAGTCACTCCTACCTTAATGTCGAATGAAGTAGCGATCAATATAATCCTAGTTGAAGTTGCGGTTCACAGGAGTGCAATGGTATGCACCTTGATCTTCAGACTCTGCGTCACGGATAACTTCCGTTGGCTGTCACTTAATCTTTCAAAAACCTCTTCAAACTTGAATCAAGAATTATCATAACATTCCTCAAACTGTCCTCTCCCTTACTCTAACTTCTGATATTTAAAAGCTTCGTAATTTGCATCTTTCCTCCACGCTTCACTTCTTGGGTTTGGTTGGAAAAGAGTTGCCATTAATTCTGGCCCCAAAGAACCCAAAGGACATGTTAATGAAAAGACGCGTGAGTCCGTCACAACTTTCTCTTAAAAAGTACAAATTTTTCAACAATAATAACGCACATAGGTATACAAAATGCATTTTATTTAAAAGTACATGCATAAAATAAGATTTCTTTTTTCATAACGTTTGATGAAATGAAATGCTAAGAAATGAAATGTTATCTAAATTTTACAAATTGAACAACAAGTACGTTTAGTTTGATGTCTGTTTTGAATTCAATGGAGAACATGTGTTTGTCTTTATCATGTGATTATCATGAACTGAGTCCATTGAGCTCGTTGATACTAAAGCAAACTACTCTGTAATATTCAATGCTACTAATTTATTACGTGAGCTCTGCTTTTAGATCATAAAGTTCTAAGCAACTTCATATAATAGCCATCTGATTATACATAAAATATAATACAATTTGTTGAAAACACGTACGTTAATTGTTTATTCTTCGAAATCTAAAGAAACAATCAAAAAACAAAGTAAAATACAAATAATCAAATGAACGATTTAAAAGTTTATTGCGATTAAGGAAATGAATTTGAAAAAAAGCATAGTAAATTTATGCTTACTTCGTAGAGCAACCTAATGAATGGTGACACCTTGAATGACACAGCAATTGAGTTTTGTGACAAGCATACTAATTTGTGACGAATTCAAATTTGCAGTCTCATTTTCTGGAACTCAGCCCAGTACCCAAGGGTATTTCTATTGCTATCTGAGACATTTCTATAGAAGGAACATCTTTTGTTTTAAAATTTCTCTTCCTAAAAAGAAATTCAATTCTTAGTAGAGAGTAAAGAAGCAATAGAAATAAAAACACTTTTGAACAATCAAGATTCAAAACACGTTAAGGTATTCGACTACTTGTGACAACTTTAAAAAAAAGAAAAAGAAATAGAGACAAGGGAATTTGTGTGTGTGTGTGGTTTTTAGATTTATTTAGTACATTTTAAGAAAAATATGCAAAAATTAATGAGAGAAAAGGAAATTATAATTGCTAAAACGGTCAAAAATTGGTAAAAATTTACATAAACGGAACCCATTTAGTACAAAAAGTTGTAACTGGTCTATTCGCGAGCCTCCTACTAATCCTCTTGGGGGAAAATTGTTTCTTTAAATATTATTCTATTGAAAACTTTCTCCCGAAGAAGAAATTATGTAAATCAAGGGTTATGTTTAAGCATTAACTTTTAGGTTCGATAGGGAGAGAGAGGTTAGGAGCTAGATGACATAGAAGTTAGTGATTAACGCAAAGTAGTAGAAAGCTAATTGAGAGTGACTCATTAATTTATTGCTTAACACTTAAAATCGATAATTAACGATTTGGTAAATTAGATATTTTAATTGGAGTAGTGCGGCTTGAAGTAGAATAGTTTAGAACGGAATTTCGATTATTTGGAACGTAGATTACCAAAACGTTCTAAAAATAAGTGATTTAGTTCACAATAAATATTAATTATCTCCTCTAGCTACTTTTGCTCCCATGCTTAATATTAGATGCATTTCCTAGCTTGGGTGGTTAAATCGTGTTATAAGATTAATATCTTATATTGTTTTGACTTATCTTCATTCTAACTCTCGAACACTGGTGGTTATGCGGGGAAAGTCATCACAATGACGCCCAACGTGGGGCCCGAACCCACAACCCCGAGATTAAGAGCCTCATGCTTTCCCAACTGAGCTAGCCAGGCTGTGATGGAAGTGCGAGGTCATCCATCTCAAAGTTTTTGAACAAATTATCAATTTTGATGTGTTCCCTTGCTATTCATTTTTGAAATGACCTTTAGGATAAGAGATATTTTTATTTTTGCAGAAGCTAAAGCACTTTTATCTTAAGTGCTTTAGCTTCTGCAAAATGCTTAAAAAATTTATTATATTAATATAAGAGACTGTAAATTTTGCCATAAAACAGTGATTGATAAATATAAAGGCTAAAACATTTCTACTATTATACAGAACATACACAAAAAAATTGAGTTAATTATTTTCAAAACGTTTTGAGTAATCGCTGTCCCCGTTTGATCATTTTGAAAAACACACACACGCATTTCGAGTAAAACGCATTTTAAAGTATGACATCTTGCTTATAGTACTGGCTTCTGCTTTTACTAAAACACTTGTAGTTTTTGTTCCAGTGAATGGAAAATAATAAACTGGGTATTTTTATAAAGCTAATAAGATGGCCTAAAAAATAAAATCATAAAAATAATTGTCAAATTTTAACAAAATTCACAATTTTAGGGTAGTCGAATACCTTAAAGGAACAAATCTGGGGTAATATACTCATCAACACTTTTCAAATATTAACACTAACATATTTTCTTTGAGCCAGTTAGAGTTTCAACAGAAAATATAGCGCTTAGAGAATAAAAGAACATTTCTTTCATGGTCTTTTTTTCTATGATTCATATAAGTAAAAATGAAAAATGGAAGAGCTTTTCCATGGTAAAGAGCTCCATCCTGATTAAAAACGACACGTGGTTGGATACTTTCCAATACCAGTATATAAATTTATATTGTATCAAATAAATGATTGGTACGATTATGAGAGAAATATATGGTCCACTGATGATCGATAATGTACATACAAACTGTTCGAATAATTTTATTAAAAAAAACACTTCAGTTACCTCTCTATCACATATAGATATCAAATATTAACATTTAGAATTCTCTCAAGGTCTTTTTTTTTTCACAAAGTATTCTGCAATAATAAAAATAAAAATAAATTTCTCCAATCGCAGATATATTTTTTTAATCTTTTGAATTATTAAGGGTTCTGAAGGAAATCCTATTTCAGTGCTTGAATTTTTCTATATTCTCATTTATTTAATATTGCTACATTTTTTCCGAAGTCAGTTTTCAGTGTGACGTATCCGAAGAGTGTCATTTTTAAACGTTCAAAGCAAGAAATATATTTCAAATTTAAAGTTGTTTATAAAAAAAAGTTTAACTTTATACGTGAAAAAAATTGGAAAAAGAAATATATAATTGAAGAAAACATAATTCGAGGTAATTAGGCAGTTCTACAAATTAGATAAAATTTTCCAAGCATTAGTATCAAGAAAAAACAAATTTGATAAGGAATTCTAAAAAAGAATGGGTCATTATACAGAAGTTTGACGTTTTAAAGTACAATTGATGTTTTAATAAATTTACGTATTCTTTAGAGTAGGGAAACACAAAAAAAGTACATTATTTATGAAAATATTGCAAACTGAATGTAGCGAATTAAATAATCAAAAGGTAACTTTATTTTTATCAAATCGCGAATTATTCATCCACTTAATTGTATTAACTTTTATTTGTTATTCTTAAGATTTCTCTACATAGTCATCATCCAAAGTAATACATTGCCCTAAGGTATTTCATGACATTTCGAACATCATTAAATGAGTCGAACTCAATAAATGCGTCAAAAACCATTGTTCCATTTCTTAAATGACGTCATTTGTGTTGTTAAATCCCCGACCGCACAAAGAGTTATAGAATTTTGGTAATTAAAAGAAAGAGGAGATATTAAGGAGGAAAATATATATATTGGGAGAAAATAGGGCAGATATTGCAAAATTTCGTAGACATCACTTTGATTCCTTAACTCCACCTCGAGGTGATTGAACACGTGCATTTGTTTGGAAGAGGATGCCTTAGGTGATCAATAACACGCTAATGACTAATGGTCAATCTTAAGTTTGTTAAAAGAGTTCCACGACAGTCCCAAAAAACAGACAGCATAAACTTTTGAGCAAACTTCTGCACCTCAGTCTTCATGGGCGGAAGTGAGCCGCCCTGATTCTATCCTTTGGTCTATGGATCCAACTGATAGATCCAAGAATCATTCATAGTTACCAGAGGACCAAAAAAATCATCTTTGTTCCTAAAAAATCAACATCTCCCTTGATAGATTGAACAGTGTTTGTTTTAAAAAAGAGCCATTAACTATGAAACCCAGCACCTTTGTATGTGCAATTCTATAAAAATAATTTTCCACGCACTGCAGTAACTTTCATTCGTGATCATTTATAAAATTGTTCTCCGATCTAATAGTCCAAAAGTCCTCCACTTTCTTCACTCCGGCTGTGGGATGGTCTTCCAATTCTTCGATCAACTGGGAGAGACATACGGCAAATTTGAAAATTTCTTTCCCACCTCCCAACAGCGTGACGTGAAAGGCTCAATTATGGCTGTTTATATAAATGAACTAATAACAATAATAAGACCACTGGTCTACGCGGCCTCAACTTGGAACATTTTCTGTGACAATCCCTTGTTGTTGCATTTCTGACGCCGAGTTGTGTGATGCATTAAGTCTAATAAATGTATTTCTTATCTCTTATTGCCCCTTTTCCTTCCCCTCAACATCCCAACCCTTCATAACTGTTTTTGCGAATTACTCCCACTAAACGTGACTTGCGACCCCATGTTCTATGGCGGTTTGTCATCTTCGTACTGCCGACTATCATCCCTCTGAATTTGTTGGTCGAATTCTGTGACACCCTGTATATACATTGTTTCCATAATCTAATCATAGGATAACAAAATAAAATTGAAATGTAATTTTACAAAATCATAAGAAATAACTAATATCAATGTAATCTTTAGTTTGAGGAATTTTGTTTATTCCAATTTTGCGAACGGCAATAGAAACTTTATTTTTGTTATAGTAAAAATAACCTCAGGTAATAAAAAAGCAATGTTTGACCATAACCAAACAGTGATGCTGATCAATTAAATTGGAAATGAAATTTCACACACAATTCTGCTGAAAATCATATTCAGTGACAAAGTAACAATTCATGTTTCAAGAGAAATTAAGTTATTACCACGGGATTCGTAAGTTAAAAAAACCCATTTAATACATTTTACACGGTTTTTTTTCCACCTTAACTTTTTAAAGGATTTTAATACAGTTTCGTTTTTATTTCTCAAAGCAGTACTTATTAAACATTTAGGACTTGATGTTATAAGTAAATAACATTCAAATAATAATTTTTACAATCATTTTTGCAACTTATCACTTAAATAAAAATTTTGAATGTTCTTTATTTAAGATAGCTATCACTTATATTATTATTTTTTTGGCAAGCCCTTTTTGAGCACACCTTTGAGCGGAACAGAATCAGGTGCGCCAGGCCTGTGAGGCCACTGGCATGTTTTGACCTCTTCCCTATATATATATATATATATATATATATATATATATATATATATATATATATATATATATATATATATATATATATATATATATATATATATATATATATATATATATATATATATACTCCCTTATCAATTTTAATTTAAAACACAGGTAACTAAGAAAAGCAAGTACACCAAATTGTACAAAAAAGAACCAAATAAATGAACAAAATGAAGTTTAAACTAAAACAGGAAAAATTGGCAATTTGACTCAAAATGAAAATGAAAATTGGACTAACAAAGTATAATAAAAGAAAACACGCAATTAATTCAAAACACGCAAATTAAGTCAATTTCTACTTAGATAAACAAAGAAAAATTTTATTTTAACTACTTTTTATTAAATTGTTACAATTAATATGAATATGTATATAATCGTGAATATAAAATTTCAGCTCAAATAAGCGTTTTAAAATGTGAGAAAAAAGCCTTTTCAAGTTTTATCACAAGTCGCCAAAAATGATGCCAACGTGGCTGTATTGGTAATTCTTTAAATAATTAGTGTTAATCAATTAATTTTTATTAATTATAATTAAATTACTGTATTGTCATCCAAAATAAACATGTATATAAAATTTCAGCTCAATTGAGCGCTTTAAAATATATTTTATTAACGATTGAAAATTCCACGAAGATAAATAGATAAATTTATAAATATATAGAAGAAAGTGTGAGTTAATAGTAGGAATTGAAAAAAACACTGGAAACGCGAGTATCATAAAGTCTTTCCAGATGTAGAACCAGCATTGAAATATATAGCAATATATCACAGAACAGACATTTTGAGTTGTCACCAAACTTTTTGACCTCACGGACCAGTAATTCACAATTTGAATCCCGCGGGCCACTAATAGGATTTTTTAAGTGTTAAATATATTTATAAAAAAAATTGTGATCTAAGAACACATAAAATGTACCTAGTTAATAAAATAAAGCTATTAATTGTAAATAAAATATGAAAGCTTTATTAGTAACCCATAATAAAATCAACAAAAACTGTAAAAACAAAACAATTAAAAAGGGGGGTTAAGTATATCAAACTCTTAGCACACATTATACATTCCTGCTTACTTGGAATAAGATTATAGATATTTGGATCCAATGTTGAAACTGCAAGACAGAGAACTGCATTTATTTCAAGCGGAGATCGGTGCCGTGTTTTGATGGCTGTGACAGGTGAAAAAGCTTTTTACATAAATAAGTTTTGGGGAATGGAATCAGAATTTTCGTCGCTGTTCACTAAGAAAAGGGTTATAACTTTCACAAATTGTTTTGAATTGAATTATGTTTCAATGCATCTTAAAACATAACTTAACGTGATGAGTAAGAATATTGTACATTTTTCTGGGGACCACCGAAATTTTCTCGTGAACCACTCACTAGTAGTCCGAATTGAATTGAATTATGTTTCAATGCATCTGAAAACATAACTTAACGTGATGAGTAAGAATATTGTACATTTTCTGGGGACCACCGAAATTTTCTCGTG